TATATATATATATATATATATATATATATATATATATATAACATTTTTATTTTTATTTTCATAAATAAACATGGTAAAAATTATTAGTTGATAAATTTCGATTATCGGGGAGTTAACATTCCGAATCTCAATAAACTGCTTGAACATCAGGTACTCAATAAAATTGAGATACGAACTTCAAAGGTGGGGCGTTATAACTTGTTGGTCAATTGCACTCTTTGTTGGTAAAAGAGTAGCCCATGAGTTGGGTGTGGGTTGTGTCAGAACAACGTCACAAATATTTGCAATGGTGAACACTAACATTCGGGAAGAAGTGAAGCTGTTACTTTTAAGAAACAACCTACCACCGTTTGTATGGTTGGTAGATACAAAAGACTGTTTAGTGTAGTATTATTAATTACTTTATTTTGTGTTTGTATTTCATTGAGGTCGTTGTCTTTACAATCCAATGGTGTCGAGGCTATGGATAGACGTATAAATAGCTGCAACCAAACGAACGGAAACAAACTAAAAGTAAAGTCACGTGAAAGAGAAGTTTGATCAGAAAAAAGTTAGAAAACGTAAAGTTAACCATAATGGGAATGAATGACCTAATGGTTGATTATGTTAGAGTGAGATTAACACTTTGAACGAGATAAGGAGAATAATTTGTCTTGTCAAAGGGTGTTCTAAAGTCTGTGTGGACTTTGACAAAAGGCAGACGATTATTAGAAGTACCAAGAGTAGACAATTATTGGAAGTACGAAAGCAGACGATTATTGGAAGTTCAGGATACAACTGCGGTAATTCACCTGACAGTGTAAGTGAATTATACACGGATACTATTGCGATAAAAAATAGAGAAAAATAGTTCGGCTTGTCAACTGAATTCTAAAGCAATTGAATTGGCCTAAGTGGACTTTTGACAAAAAGATGAGAAATGTATAGTATTTAAGATACAACTATGATCTACTATAAGTGTAAAGAATTTTTGTACATACTTTGAACTCGTTTCTGATATATATATATTATTTAAAAAACAAGTATAGTGCATGCTATTATTTTGTTGTCGAATTTATCACCTACAAATAACAGACGCTTACTGTAGAAGAATCCTTAGCCCAACACGCCCATATATTTATATTACTATATATACTGCCCCCCAGTGGCACACCGGTATGTCTGCAGACTTACAACGCTAGAAACCGGGTTTCGATACCCGTGGTGGGCAGAGCACAGATAGCCCTTTGTGTAGCTTTGTGCTTAACTACGAACAAATTATATATACTACTAAGAAGTAGTTTCTGACAATAATATAGATCAATGCCTTTAGATAAAGATTTTAGCATAAGTTCTCAAACTCATTGTTGTGTCATGGAGAGGCATGATGTTTTGATATACATCAAGTTTACAATATTTAATTCAGCGCTCAGTTAATTTGAAATTAAGAATTGCAATATTATAAAGATGTTATTTCTAAATTATCGTTTGTCTTATAAATAAAAAAGTATCGACCCAAATAGGGATTTTTCAGTAAAACCCAAAAAACGCAAAGTCGAATATAATTGACAAACTGTTTATTTTTCCAACAATGAAGTGGATTTCAAGCATTTTTGGATGTCATAATATTGCTAGTCATAAATGATGAATTTAGAATCTGTCCAAAGGATTAAAGTGCTCATGCATATCTTATTTGCATATGTTTGAGAAAAATTTCTTTGATTGGACTGCTGAATGTTTTCTTCCCTTCCAACATTCTCCTCATTTTATACTGTTTGCCATAGGTTAAGAGCCTCACCTTTACATAATGTTTGGCAATGATTTCAAGCAGTTTTCTTTCATGTATGTCTTCTCTGGATTCTTCTAAAAGATTATGCTCTAGGATGTAAGGAAAAATAGATTCAATAACTAAATACTTACAAACTTGGTTGTGCAATTATAGTCAAGAGGAAATGAGTTGCATCGATATTATTTAGTTGATTCAGTTTAAGGCTTTCTCCATGACAGTAACAATCCTAACAATCCCAACACATCTAATGAGAAACAAAATACCAGTGGAAAAAGGGAATAACTATATGCATGATCACACTATGTAAGTAAGCTGATGGGAATGCAATAATTAGATACCGAAAGAACGCGAGATGAATGAGTGGAGAAAATTGTCTGACACATAGAACAATACTGATGCCTGAATCTCATATACAGTAACATTATCCACAGAAGTAGAAAAGTATTCTTCATTTTTATCAGTATCTACGTTAACTACAAATGTCATAGGATTATATTCTTTAGAGCTCAAAGAAATAATGCAATATGGTGCATCCTGGAAAGCCACACAATTGGCTGCAGAAGAGGCTTGTATATGATGATTACATAACTTTACACAAAGCATAAATAAACTCTTCACGTGTACAAATTGTTATTCCACACTCCACGCCCTGTGAGCAGGAATAAAAAATTTATAAAGGAAACTGGGAAAGTTTGTACGTCAAGACAGATTTGAAGATATAGAAAGGCTGGTTGAGTCAGAAGCTGGACACATGTCTTCATATATTCTATTATTTCAGTGACAATCTGCTCCCATATTTGCCAGTGTCAGAGGAGCTTTAAAAGTATTTCGTTACATAATTCCTGGAATTTCACAAACGAAATGCCCTGTCAGTAATGCTTGAAAAATAAATGTTCCCCAGGACCATCAAAATAAAGATGTTTAACAACACACCTAAAAAAAATCAGTGAAATCAGCCACTGAGAAATTAAGTGTCTAGCAAGGAAGAGAAACATTTTCTGCCTAATCCACTGGATATGCTTAAGAGCTAATCCATTACTTAAACTAAGTTATCTTGTTTTTAGATCCACTAAGTTTTTATAACAACCTACATTCAATTTTTTCTCTCTTGCCTTGTGAATCTTGTTAAATTTGATATTTTAAGATATGACAAGCTTCTAACATACTATAAATATTATACCTTTTTATGAGGATGAAGAAATAACCTATCAATATCTATTACAGAGTTTACAAGCTTAATATCAAGTTTTGAACATGCAAATACTTTCTGAAGCTCCATCGCAAGCAACACCCCACGCACAGAAATCTGCTTTATCAAGAATGTTTATAGCATGTTGACTTAAAACCTAACTATCTACTTTATGAAATAAGCAAGGAATTTCCTTTCAAACCAACAACTTGAAAACAATTGAATTATGATCCATCATAATTTATAAAAGCAGAGTATTTTTCTCTGGCAATATTCCAATTAGTTTACATTCAAAGCCAAGGAATTAATGTACAATCTTTTATATATGGATTCACGCTTAGTCCTTTTTTTAAAATACTTTCAAACACTTCTTCCAACCTGGTTCACAATTTACAAAACTTCTCTAAGTATGAAGGGTGAGGCATTCCAAACATTTGATGTAGAAATCTGGATAATAAAAATTAAATGGTCATAGATAGATCTTTCGTTTATTGGGAGTATCGTCTACCACATTTCTTTACATCTCTTTTCCTTGGAGTACCCTGTAACAAAAGTCTTACGACACCAGGTAAAGCATTATCTCTGATATCCGCTTATTCTTAAACTTTGCTTTTTCATTTTCTTGATTAACTCTTCCATATTGGATATTTTTCAACTTGCTTCTGCGCTATTTATTGGTTTAGTCTTCTTTAGAAGGATTTGTAGGGGAATAAGTTAGTGGAGAATTCAGAGGTTGTTGAACATCTCTGCCTTCACTGCTAGTCCTGTAACATGGTTTTTGAAAAGAAACCTTAGCATAAGTGTGCACCCACATGGTGATTATCTGTAAGAATAAATATAGCTGGTTCTATAGCCAATTACTGAAAATAATGATATGAACACTTACAAGAAAACTATTCTGAAAGTTAAGCATTCAAAACCAAGCACCATTTTGTTTTTATTTGCAACAGCTAAACGACAGTGGCGAACATTGCATTTAAAGCGGTCAGTTAGTCAAGTTTCCACGCTAAACATTACATTTTCACGATAAACAAACATACCATCTCACTTATCCCACGACTTATAAACATAATTAAATTATTGGGGGGGGGGACATACTACATATTACAAATCATTGTTTTCAAACTTTTTATTATATTAGCATAATGTGCTTCCATACTCAAGTACCCCACTTCAGGCTGAAGTTCTTCCTCACATTTCCTCTTCACTGGAGAATTCTTCTTCATACTTCCTCTTAGATTTCACACTTTACAGATGAGGGTGAAATGAAGCAAATGCTGATAGCACAGCATCATTTTTTCTGAAAATATCTATTTTTTCAAAGTTTTAACTGACACTGTATAAAAAACTTTAAGCAATATATTACATAATGTACTTGTATTGACTTATTACTCCACTGCTTATGTACTGTTTTCAATTATTTCACTACGAGGTACTTGCAATAGCAATCAGTACATGCCTGCCATTATTTCCATTTTACCAATGTCGAGATGTCTACAAACACGACACTTCGCAGAAATGTTTACAAATATAGTTTGAAAAGAGGAGGGTATGTTAATTGTATTATAGTTTGTATAATAAAAATGCTTTAGCATATTAAAAACTACGTACCTGAAAACTTGATGTAGTGAAATGTTCGCTGCAGATGCACGATACTTGGTTGGTGTTCAATCCTTTCTACGTATAACCATCATCTACATCTTGTAATGGAAGCCTAGTAGGAAACTGGATAATTCTAAGTTCAGATCACTTCGTAATTGATTAATTTGTTTGTAAACACAACATAAATGGTAATAATAACTACATATAATTAAAAATATTTTGAATATTAATCTGATTAGATAGCACTGTTTGTTTTGTTTTGTTTTTTCAATACAACGATCCTACGGTTTCTAAACTAACTAGCTAGGCCTACTATTATTCATCATACGTTCAGAGTAATTAATTATGTAGCAAGACTTTAGCAACCGGCAAATTCTTAATATGTACAGTGTTTATGATTAATTTTGATTTTATAATACTTAGAATTAAACACAAGATGATCAACATTTACATTCATACAAAAAGTACCGCTACATCTCCCTTTTTAGAAACGTTTGAGCATCCAAATTCACAAAAGTTATATGACATTCTTCCAACAAAATGGCGGTCGATTGGTACGGACAGCAATCTTTCCAGGATATAAAAAGCTGATTGGTACCACTTCGCTATGTTACGGGTCTATCATAAAAGAGTTTGGTTTAAGCTTCTCTATTCTTCAAACACGAGTTAAATTACGAGGTGCAGGAGCTTTATTTTCAATGTGATGAGAAAGTGCCATTTTTTGAAACAGAATACAAAATATCTTTGTTATTTCATAATTAATAGCTGTTTATTAATTAAGATCTTTCTTTAGCACTTTAAAGTGAGCATTATGTCCTACACTATCGGTATGCGTAAAAATTCAAATCAGCAACAGAGTAGACACAAAATTTAATACTACTTTATGTATTATTTTTCTGGCATCTTCAATCATCACAAAGCTACACGAGGGCTATCTGCGCTAGCCGCCCCTAATTTAGCAATGTTAGACTAGAGGGAAGGCATCTAGCCAACCCAAGAATTCGCGTTGAGTGAAATTGACTAACAGCCTTCCCTCTAGTCTATCACTTCAAAATAAGGGACGGCTAGCATAGAAAGCCTTCGAGTAGTTTTGCGCGAAATTCAACAAGCAAAAAGTCCCTTTCTATATTGAAAATTCACATTTTATTGCATTCAGAAAATTAAAAACAAATAAATAAAGTTTAAAATAATTTTAAACAGTTTCAAACTGCCTTTTAAAACTTATAATTTTATCTCTAGTTAAGGAATAATATTCAGTCAATTCGGAAAACAAACTTTTCATTTTTGCGTATTTTTTTGCTTTCAGCAAACCTGACTTCCTCCCGTTGCATTTAAAAAAAAAAACATACAATTAAGGACACACACAATAAATGAAGATTTTTTAAGTTTGTAATTCAACAACATTAACTTGTGAAGACTCTTTCTATATGTGTTGGCCCGGCATAGCCAGGTGGTTAAGGCACTCGACTCGCAATCACGTTATAACGTGACGGTCAATCCCACTATTCGTTGGTAAAAGAGTAGCCCAAGAGTTGGCGGTGGGTGGTGATAATTAGCTGCCTTCCCTCTAGTCTTACACTGCTAAATTAGGGACGGCTAGCGCAGATAGCCCTCGTGTAGCTTTGTGATGATTGAAGACAATAGTGTAGCTTTGCGCGAAATTAAAAAAAAACAAACAAACAAAACTATATGTGTCTCAAGTTTTCATTCTTTTTAACGCACTTAGTAATTTCTACCACATCATGCGAAAAAAAAAAAAAGCTAAAAGATTGTATTTTCTCTAAACTTGGATTTCATTCAAGTGGACAGTAGAAATTAGAATTAAAAAAGATAATTTGATTATCAATATTTTCT